CTTGAGGTAAGGACCTGCTAAACTTGTTGTTTGTAAAGCACCATCTTTGTAGATGTGTCTCCACCATAATCATCTCTGAAAACCTTTGCTCTTAGGATCAGCTTTCACACTGTCAGATAAGTAAAGGTAAAGGGACCCCTGGCCATTAGGTCCAGTCGTAGCCGACTCTGGGGTAGTGGCGCTCATCTCGCTTTATTGGCCGAGGGAGCCGGCATACAGCTTCCAGGTCATGTGGCCAGCATGACTAAGCTGCTTCTGGTGAACCAGAGCAGCGTACAGAAATGCCGTTTACCTTCCCGCCGGAGCGGTACCTATTTATCTACTTGCACTTTGACGTGCTTTCGAACTGCTAGGTTGACAGAAGCTGGGACCAAACAATGGGAGCTCACCCCGTCACGGGGATTTGAACTGCCGACCTTCTGATCGGCAAGTCCTAGGCTCTGTGGTTTAACCCACAGCGCCACACTGTCAGATAAAGGCCAGCAAAAACACACTTCAGCATAGTAAGAATCAGTGACACTTTAATATGCTAAAACTCTGGTGTGCAGATATCATCCCAATCAAAATGGAGGTAGTAGCATCCATTGATTTACCTGCAAATTGTCCTTGCAGCAGCTCAGAAGTGTATCTCTCTCTCTCTCTCTCTCTCTCTCTCTCTCTCTCTCTCTATATATATATATATATATATATATATCACACCCATCTGGCGGGGTTTCCCCAGCCACTCTGGGCAGCTTCCAACCGAACTACCACTGCAGCAAGCCCACTAACCTTGAGGAGATGCCCAAATGAACATCTTTATGGCAAAGAGGTCTCTCTGCAAGACATCTTCGACTAAGCTGGCTTGCGGAGGGCTTGGAGGTATGTGCTTTGGGGATAGATGATAGCAAGGAAAATGTGAATACTGTATTGTATTTCAGCAACATCAGGCTGGCCATTGCATTTTGTGGCATTCAGCAACAACACATACCAAGAAAGATCCCCATAAATATAGCAGAAATTTACAAAACAAAAGTAGCCAATAAAGTACTGAATAAGAATATAGATTATAAAGCAAACACTCACAAGACATAGTGATCCCTCAACAAGCTAGCTGTGAATATGTAGCCCAAACGTGTCACAGAGAAAAACTGCTTCATGTGCAGTGAAAAAACTTTTTAAGTGTCAGAAGTTGCAACCAAATAACTGTGAACAGTGAGAGATATTCATAGCTTTGAAATTCAGTCTCAACCATTGTCATCTTTATTTGCATGAAGTTAATCCGGTCCTGGCACTGAGCAAATGTGCAAACAGTGGCAGTTTCTTCATCCGTTTCTGCTTCTATTGGAATTCTCCAACATCCCTAACTCCGACACTGTCCTAATTTATTGTATATCCACATTTTGCTTGACATTGTGTGAACATGGTTCCCACCACAAAGAGCACACACAATGCAAAACAGAAAACACATTCAGGAGTTTCCATCCACCCCCCACTTCCCCACACACATGCTGAGAGAACAGATGACGTGACCTTCATTTGGTGCATTATGTCTTTAAATGAGACCAGATGAACATTCATGGAAGGTTTTCTTTGGAAATCTCCGTAGGGGAGGTGTTTTAAGAAGGGATTTGACGAGAGTGAACACTGGGTGTTCGGTTACTCCTGGTAGAAACTGTTATGTAGCTATTGCTAATACCTAAAGCACCAAAATCAACAAAGGTCCCAACTTTTGTCTTGAGTCCCAGCAATAGTACCAACGTTAGCAAGGCAAAGAAAGATCCGAGAGAGATACCACCGCTATGTAGCCACGAGCCCTCTCATGTAATCAGATTTTTGGCACAATATACAAAGCCCACCCCCACTGCCTTTGTATCTTGCCAGAAACCGGGACACATTAATCAACCTCTACGGAAAGGGTGGTCTCAAGGCTTAATATAGACAGGCCACAATCCTGAACTGAATGACAATCCAGCAAGTGTAACAGCTGTGAAAAAGGCAAATTCCATCTTAGGGATCATTAGGAAAGGGACTGAAAAGAATATCACCACACCTTTCTGTGAACCTACGGAACAACCGCACCTGGAATACTGTATACAGTTATGATCTCTGTACCAGAAAAAGGATATTGTAGATCTGGAAAAGGACAACCAAAATCAGCAGGCAATTGCAGCAACTTCCCTATTAAGAAAGCTGAATAGTGGACAGAGAGGAGCACTTCACACAGAATAAAGTTATGGAATTTGCTATCATGCAGGATGTAGATCCGGCCACCAATCTGCACTGTTTGAAACAACAAATTCATGGAGATGAAGCCTGTTAAATGCTACAGCTAGATATTCACTCCAAGCAAAAGCAGCTGCCAGCTGGCATGGTGGTGCCCAGGAGCTGCCTCCCTGGCAGTGCTGCTGCTGACCTGAACAGGGCAGGGTTGGGGCCAGGATAATGGAGAGATCAGGGTGGTGTACTAGTGGCGACACTGGACTGTCTCCCCTGTGCTCCAATGAAGTCCTAAACTTGTCACTGCCCTACCTTGTCCAGGTGAGCAACAGCAACACTTCCCCCAGTAGGGCAGCACTGTGGCACAATCCCACTGTGCCAGCCGCTCCTGCCTCCAGTATCAGAGCCAGCTGCTGGGGGGGGGCTGTGTGGGCTTCCCATGGGCATCCAGTTGGCCACTGTGAGAACAGAATGCCAAACTAGATGGCCATGGTACCTTCCTATATGCAGCATCACAGAGAGTAATGCTCAAACATAGACATAATTTTTATACCTTTGATGGTGGTGCCCATCTCCAAGCATATTTTAATCCATCTGTATTGACTTGTGTCAATGTGAGAGTCATGCCCTAATGTGGTTGTCGGGGCCTGAGAGTATCTACCAATCTCCGCATGGATCGGGGGGTTTTTGTACAGCATTGCAAAGATAGCTTCCTGAGCTTTAAAAAAAGTCATTTTACACAAAATTGTACATGCTACCGTAAGTAATCTGATGAGTCTAGTCCCACACATGAGAGTCAATGTAGATTGATGCTATGTTATGCTTTATTTATACACCACTTTTTGGCCCACAGGCCTCCAAAGCAGTATTTGTCACTTAATACAAGGAAGTCTCTAAGCAACTTAGAAACAGAATAAAAATACAGAGTTAAAAACATAGCAATCATCAATACCAACAAAACAAGAACCTCAAGAATGATGTTAAGTTCCTAGCAGTCTTTGTCATTGAATAAACTGTAATACAATATCACTATTATTGCAACCACTACTATGACTAATAACCACACAATAATAATACCGTCATATTACTACCCCTATCCGAACAGCCTCTTCTGTGACTTACTACTAATAATATGCACATAGGGAGAGAGATGTGAATTCCAATGACCTGAATTTCCTGGGGAAAGTTGTACAAGACCAGCTAAATTGCCTGGAAAATGTACAGTACCAGCTGAGGTTTAAATACTTAGTGGAATCCTTCGAAAGATTGTTCACACTAAGCAAGAAATGGAACTAGGTGAGCCAGTTCAGTTAGGACTGGGTGCTGTCCACCACCAATTTCAGAATACAGCAAGCATTGCATCTGACCCTTAGTTCCCTCCTCACCTTGAAGGATCAGGTATTTGCTTGCAGGTGGGTGAATGGGCAGGAGGACTCCCATGCCTAAACTAGCGGGTTTGATTCATTAATTCATTAAACTAGCAGGCCTGCAAGTCAAGAGCATTTTCAGTCCATTGCCCTCTTCAGATAAAAGAACTCCAGTTTGCTTCTCCTCCTCTTAAAACGGGGAGGGGAAGCAATACAGTAAATCTAAGAGACATATTAAATAACGTTAAAGGCTGCTGCTTCCTGTCAAACCTGGCTGGCGGATGGATGGAATGCACCGTTCTGCAAGATGGCTATAAACAGATCCTTCGCCACTAGCTCACTTAGCCTGCCTCCAAAAACGGCCACAGAGAAGGTTGTGCAGGTGAACCTATTCCAGGGGAGGAGGGAGTGATCAGAGAAGCTGTTGTGCCCCCAGGGACTGCACCCCTCAGGGGAGGGCTAAATACAAACAGCATTACTAGGTCCAGAAAATGCCACCACCAGCTCCAATGAAATAAATGCACATTCCTTCCTTCCTCCCTCCCTCCCTCCCTCCCTTCCACAGGACCTATGAATTAATAGGAAGACTAGCAAGAATCCCATGGATAGTGCTCAAAGTAGAAATTGGGTCTTACCAAGTCAGAAATACTGCGGCTTGTTTTAGCCATGCAGGCTAAAGGTGGGGAGGCATGCTCTCAATTAAAAAATGATTGATCATAATGGAGATAAAAAGGTAAAGGTAAAGGTACCCCTGCCCGTACGGGCCAGTCTTGACAGACTCTAGGGTTGTGCGCCCATCTCACTCAAGAGGCCAGGGGCCAGCGCTGTCCAGAGACACTTCTAGGTCACGTGGCCAGCGTGACATCGCTGCTCTGGCGAGCCAGAGCCGCACACGGAAACGCCATTTACCTTCCCGCTAGAAAGTGGTCCCTATTTATCTACTTGCACCCGGAGGTGCTTTCGAACTGCTAGGTTGGCAGGCGCTGGGACCGAGCAACGGGAGCGCACCCCGCCGCGGGGATTCGAACCGCTGACCTTTCGATCGGCAAGCCCTAGGCACTGAGGCTTTTACCCACAGCGCCACCCGTGTCCCCAAATAATGGAGATGGTCAATGGTAAATGCTAGGGTCAGGTTTGCCACTAGGCAGAGTGGGACAATTGCCTGAAGCAGCTGGTCTGGAGTGTCATGAAAAGGTATAAAAGTTTTGGCTATTTACTATTGCTGCATTTTGACTGCCTCAAAGAGGAACATTTTGCCTCAGGTGCCAAAGTAACCTGGCCAGCCTTGGGTATGTTGCAGAGAGTGTCATTAGCTGGTCCACCTCAGGCAACGAATGTCATGGACCAACCCTGATAAATGCACATAATCATATGGTTCAAATCATCCACACATGCAGAGTTTACTATGTGATTCAATTAAACTAAAGTTAGTACCTTCTTCTTGCTGCAGTAAATCTGCCATTTCTTCTCTGGTGGGAGTGCAAACATTGCCTCTCTGTTCTTATCGGTGAGATCCAATTCATCCTGGAGAGGACAAAAAAGAAACATATAAGTAATATATTTTTGCAGAGGATTTCCAAGGCCACCTTTATCTCCTTACCTTCAGCTGAAGAAACTTTAAAATTAAAACTTAAAAGTTGACTCTTTCAGGATATCTAACTCATCTTCAGTGTTTTATTTGGGAACTATGCACTGAACTCTTAAGCACACAAGGACTTTCCTCCCTTTCCTTGGCCTAGGAAGAACCTTGCAGCAGGTCCCTATTAAGAGCCCTGCCAGAGAGCATGATATATAATGCACCATTATGGATCCTAAATTACAAAATTCAACAGATAATATACTCTCCAAACTCGATGGCTTATAGGTAGGCGTGAGCAGGCTTCTTCAGTCTGTTGTGTCTATGATTTCGGATTATATTTCTTTATCCTGCTCTGCCACTAAGTTACCGAGGTAAATCTAGTATTTACAAAGGTAAAACTATGCACATAATTACATAGATTCACATTCAACTTTACTCAGTAGTGAGCAATTCAGGCAATCTCAAACCAAGACAGGATTCAGACAAGCACACTCTGCTTTCAAACAAGTAAAGAATTTTGCAGTCAGGGAAACTAGGTTCTTCAAAGAGTCCCATGCACAATGGATTCTGCTGCTATGAGGGTTTCAGGAAGCTAAATTCTGGGAACACTGGGCCTTTGCTGATAACCTAGTTTCCCTGGATTCCAATGATCCAGCTTCAGGAATACAGTAATTGTTGGTTGGGGAAAAGGTTGTCTGAACCTACAGAAAAAGTGGCATATGCCTCAGTAAAGAGTTTTACCAAACTTCTCATCTAATCCTTTTATATATACAGTAGCTGCATCCATATACCTGTGGGTATAGGGCGGTATATAAATTTCATTATTGTTATCATCATCATCATCATTATTAATACATACATACATACATACATACATACATACATACCAGGGGTTACCCAATGTGACACCTTCCACAGGTGACATTGTGAGGACTTCTGAGCCATTAAAAATAAAGCTGTACCCTAAAGCAGGAACAATACCTCTTTAAGACAGCTCCACAATGGCTCATTTGGAAAACTTTCTGGATCCAGAAACTTGTGAAAACAGTGAGCTAAAATTGCATACTGAGCCTGGTAGCGGCTGCTGACAGATTTAAAGGCCCACAGAGATTTCAGCCACAGAAAGGTACAAAAGAAACACAAACAGTAACAAGGCTAGGTCATTGCCAACAGCCCAAGGTAGGAGAAGCCAGGGGAGTGGGAGGGAAAGGGTTTTTCAAAATGTCTATAACTTTGCGTGAAGAGTGCAAGCCATGTGGAAATGTTTAGAGCGAGTTTCCAAGCAAGAGGGCAGCCAAGCAAGGCAAGGCAAGTTTTATCCTCCTTGCTATACAAAATTAACTTGGGCCAGGAGCACATTCTTAGAGGGATGGAAAGAGGAGAGGGGGAGAAAGAGAGGCAGAAACTGCATGTCAAGTCTTAAGGACAGAGAGAACACTGCAAGTTTGTGGAAAGGATGTCAGGCCATTGATACTTCTGATGTTGTCAACATTACGTCTGGCAAAACAGAGAAAGAGAAGTCCTACATGGGCTCACATATGCAATGAACTGGGTCATCTCAGCAAAATCTTTCACAAAAGCTCCACCACTCAAGGGAAATGCCAATTTATCGCTTACTTGGCAAAAGTCAAGACACTAACACGATTCTGTTCCGTACATCATAGAAACACATCTAAGAAACTGGTGGGCTGCTACTTAAACAAGAACTTTTGTCAGGAGGCTCAGTTCAACTGTCAAAACAGCAAGCTGAGAGATTTTACAAATGTCCAGCCCTTTGCAGGATGTGGAGGGAATGAATCTGAATGACAGAACATCTAGCCCCCACTTCCATGCCAAAAAAACCAACCCCAAAATTTAAAAAGCTGCTTAACCATTTTCACTGGCTGAATAAAACCTGAAGGCTAACACTGTAAATTCATCCAGCAGCTTCCAAGACTTCAGCGGATGTTGCCTATGAAATTCACTTTGCTCATTCCTCTGAAGGAAAATAGCATTTGGTCATGTAATTATACGGCAGATTTAGAAGGCACAATAATGAGTTTCCTGCAAAAGCATGGAGATTTGGCTGGACACCAAAACTTTAAAAAGGTGCACGGGCAAGCATCTCCATCTTTCCTCCTTTCCAGTGTTTGTTTGTTTTTAAGTAAGAAAAATATGGTATGGTCCACTACACAATGGACAATGTTTCTAAAATAATGGGCATAACACCCCATATGGCTTTTGCCAACCTGGCTTTTACCAAACATCTGCTGTCTGAAACACCTGCAGAACACCAGGTTGTTGAAGGTTTACCTAATACAATCTCCAGATGAAACCAAGTAATCACTCTTTCACCATTGCCCTCCACCTCACATCAGTATAATTAATGACAGTAATTTCCACTAAGCAGCCAAAAAGTAAACTCTTCTATGCCTGGGTAAATAGGAGGCCAATTGCCTCAAGTATAAGGGACTTGGTATTCAGTTGGTGCTGCTTTTCTGAGTGGTTGGTAATCCCTGATAAAGAACAGGCTATAAAGCTCAGGAGAACCTCAACAAAGAACACAGTCTCTGTGCCATCACATTTATTTACGGTATAGTGCTATACCTGAGATCTGCCAGCTGGGTTCAGTGGAAGACCTGCTCTGCTGGCAAAACACCAGATAAACCGCTAATGCAGAAATGCGAGCAGATGATCATGGAAGTGAATGGCCACACCTCTGACATCTATGCAGTAGCATGAACAGAGGGGGAAGGAGGAACCACATACCATAGGGTTAGAGCTAAAGGTAAATTCCACAGGTTCTTTCAACACACTTTGCTCCTTCAGGCAAGTAATGGTGAAGGAGTACAGTGGTACCTCTGGTTACAAACTTTACTCGTTCCAGATAGAAGACCTCAGTCCAAAGTTTTGTGCCAAATTGCCAACGCTCAGCCTCCTGCGCACTGGAATCGGTGACTTGGCTCTCAAGTTAGCACTTCCAAGATTGCTGATACCACAGTAGAGTGATGATTAAGAAGACATGTGCCACGACGGCCTCAGGGAGAAGTTTAAAAAGAAAGGTCCAATGAATATTTTAACAATCTGTTCCATTTTCAATTTCCTTATTTTTTGTTCTTTACAGAGGGGAGGATATGGTCAGTTAATTTCACTTTTAATATGGCCAAGACAGAATTTCAATGATAAAACACATGAAATGTTTGGGAGTTGGACCCAAAGCAGAAAATGTTTCCAAAGCAGATTCCTGAAACAGAAGGGGAAGATGGCCCAGATCTGAAATGACTGAAAGACTCATGAAAATGAAAGGAAGAAACAGAGTGAGAAGGAGGAAACCTAAGAGGGTATGTTGTGTTATGCCCTTCAGCTCTGTGGGACGTTAAGCGTAAAAGATGGATTTGATACTCTAGGGGTAGGAAAACATTTCCAGCTCAAGGGTTGCATTCCCATATAGACAAATTTCCAACAGCTACATGCCAGTAGTGGGTGTGGCCAAAGGCAAAAAAGCGGGTGTGGCAATGGGTGGGACTCTTAGGTTTGTATAATAGACTAAATTCCAGCCACTCAAACATAAAAGGTTTCTATACATACATACATACGCACAACTCTCCATCGAAGCAAATGGCATTATCACACTTCAATGAAACATTCCAGCCAGACAAAAGGAATAAAGCAAGGTGTGGAGAAGATATGGTCAGGATGAGACCTAGGGAGATTCTGGAGAGTCAGACAGAGAGGAATACTTGTTGTTGTTGTTGTTTAGTCGTTTAGTCGTGTCTGACTCTTCGTGACCCCATGGACCAGAGCACACCAGGCACCTCTGTCCTCCACTACCTCCCGCAGTTTGGTCAAACTCATGCTGGTAACCTCGAAAACACTATCCAGCCATCTTGTCCTCTGTCTCCCCCTTCTCCTTGTGCCCTCCATCTTTCCCAGCATCAGTGTCTTCTCCAGGGAGTCTTCTCTTCTCATGAGGTGGCCAAAGTACTGGAGCCTCAGCTTCACGATCTGTCCTTCCAGTGAGCACTCAGGGCTGATTTCCTTAAGAATGGATGCGTTTGATCTTCTTGCAGTCCATGGGACTCTCAAGAGTCTTCTCCAGCACCATAATTCAAAAGCATCAATTCTTCGGCGATCAGCCTTCTTTATGGTCCAGCTCTCACTTCCATACATCCCTACTGGAAAAACCATGGCTTTAACTATACGGACCTTGAGAGGAATGCTAGGCTGCACTTGGTCCCCTAGGCCTGAGGTTCTTGAACCTTCTACACAAGCCTCCTTGCACTTAAGGGAAACTCTGGAGTAGGGATCGAAGAATCTGCCCATTTTGGTTCTTTCCGTTTCCCACTTTGCCTATCCAAAATGCACTTTTCTACATTTCTGCAGCAATTGGTGATTATTATTGTTGTTCCCCTTCATGGACCACTGTCTTCTTGTGGCGAAGTGGCTTGAATAACTCCAAGAAGCAGGGCCGTCTTAAGGATATCCGGCGCCGTGGTGCAAAGCTCCCTCCGGCAGCGCCCCAGCCCCACCCCGTTTTCCCAGAGTTGTTGACCGGTGGGGCTGTAGGAGGCGGGAAGCTGGAGGGTGGCTCCTCCAGCGGGGAAGAGGTGGAGTCTGGACGCAGCACCTCCCGGCTCAGCTGGCCACTTCATGCTGCAGTAGCCACAGCAAACAGAGGCTCTGGGTGCGGCGCTGATTCGGCATGGCGGCGGCAGGTGAGGGCGGTGACCTGATGCTGGGAGGCGCTGCATCCAGCCTCCACCTCTTCCCTGGTACCCTCTAGAACTTGGTGCCCTGGTGCCCCGCGCCACTAGCCTCTATAGGTAAGATGCCCCTGCCAAAAAGCTATGAGCTATGCTGTGCAGGGCCACCCAAGACAGACAGTTCATAGCCGAGAGTTTAGACTAAATGTGATCCACCTGGAGAAGGAACTGGCAAACCCTTCCAGTATTTTGCCAAGAAAACT